TATATATTTTATACAAACAGTACTATAAGTCGGGTGTATGTTAATTAATTAATTTGAAATTTTATATTTAACCACAGAATATTGTAAAGATAAATTATTGATAAAAAAAAACAATAATTTTTTAGTTTTAAAAAYAATACTTTTGGCCGCCTAAAATCGTCTTTTATACCACTGTGCGCCCGCCCATCGCTAATATGACGGGTACATCGTAGTAATTTTCTAGGGGCTACGATGATATAGACGCGCGGGTATAGGGAAAATTTGGTGATTAAACTATGAACTGATATCCTATACCAATATATGTACATTTATGAGAGTGGGTAGGTATTTAAATAGACTCACTATATAGGTCAAATTTCTCCCGACTAACGTATACAAAGTAATCCGCCGCGTGTCTTTAAATTGTTTGTATACCCTTACCACAATTGACTAGATAATTTGACATTTGCAGAGGGTCGGAGGTTTTGACGTCCGCAACCAGATGGACACGATGGCTGCCAAAATGACCGGCAAGATCCGAAATGTCACGTGCGTCATGCAAGAACTCGGCTACGTAAGTGTCTATTAATCTGCTGTCAACGAAATTCATATTTTTTTTTATTATGACTATTTTAAAGTGAACTAGGAAATACCTATACCATAGAAAATACACGAAATATTTTACCTTTTTTTTGTTCTTAAAATTAAAAAATAATAAATCTAATTTCTAATATTTATTATTTTTTAAGATAACTCTTAGTTTTAACATGACGTTTTGTACACAGCTCAACCAAAACATGGAACCAGACTACGAAAACATGAACGACAGGGTGATGAGGCTACCGATCGCCGAAGAGCTTAAACAAGACATGGTAGACGGAATTACATATTGCAAGAAATTTTCGGTAATATACTCTTCATGAAACGATTATACATTTATAAACTTTAACTGTTTGGAATACATTTCGAAACTATTAAACATTAATTGGAACACGTTCATTAATTCTTTTTATGTTAGGAACAAACTATGAAAAGTTTTTCTGATTATTTCGTTTAATTTAATGATATACGTACCTAATATGTATTCAATAATTTACAGTCATACTTTCGTGGCTACTGGCCAGGTATACTGGTATTAAAACCTTAAAATTATACTCTTTTACTTGAATAATTAAAAATCATATGTGATATGCATTGTCTTCCAATTTTCTATTTTTTGTAAGTATCTAACTTTTCATAATCGTATTTGTATATGTGTCAACAGATGTGCGTGCCGGATGAAAGAAAAGACAAGTTCGCCAAAGAGTTAGTGCGGCCAATGTTCTTTTTCAAATGCTATAAAGTACGTAAATATGGTCTAATACACAAATAATATTGTACATTATTATTAGACCGAATAATATAGGTACAACTAATGCAATTAATACTTATTATATAATACGTTTTGTTTTAACACAATAATACTATATTGTATTCGATAATATAGCATAAAAAGTTGGAGTCGTGTATAATGAAGGATATCAGAGATCGTTACACGTCAGAAGAATTTGGCGAAGACAACATGGTGACATCCGAACGATCGATGAGAAGCTCACAGAACTTGGAAGACGATACTATTGAACAGACGGTTTTCGATTACATTTACGGAGACAAGTCCATAGACTTGGACGTTTTACTGTGAGTGCAACTGCAAGTGCAAGTGCAGTTTATCAACAACTATAAATGCTCAACCGCGTTTATCACACGAAAGAAAAATCTGTAATCTGCGTCCTAGAAAGTCAAATTATATACGTTTAAAAGTATATTTTTTTTCATTAAATTTCTCTAGATTGTAAGATGTAAGAGATATTTAATTTATTTTTATGTACGTTGGTTCTGGTTTTAAAACGCTACTAAAGATAATTAAATTAATACCAGCAGTGGCGTTTCGAAATCAGAACGAACTCTCCAACATAATATTTATGTATTTATTTTAATTTGTTAAGCTTATTATAATTTATTTATTACGAGTAAGAATTTAGTATAAAAATATATTATAATATACATACCTATATTACGTAAATGTAAGATTTATTTTTCAAATTGTTCACATTTTCTCGTTTTCTACGCAGACATTTTCACAGTAACAAATAGTTTAGGTACATCAGTATTTTTGGAATGTTGGATTTAAAAGGAAATGCTTGAGCAGATGTAATTTTTGTTATACATTAATCAATAAATTATAAACTGTAAATAATAATAGTAATAAAAATAATTTTATTCAACAAGTATAAAAGAACAAATTTTCTCACATAATAATAATTATTGTTATTATTATTGTATTATTGTTATGTTTAGTTAATTATTTTAAACTTGTATATTTTAAACAATATTTGGGTGTTCAATTATCTCCATGTAACATATTACATTGATAGTATAATAATAAATAAATAGCGCAGAATAAAAATGATTGTCATACAAAATGATAAAAATTGTAAAATATATGATTGCGCGATTGGACGAGTTGAAAATAAAATAAAAGTATAGTAAAAATAATAGTAATAATTATAGTAATGGGGGGAATGGAGAGGATGGATTAGTTATGCGATGTAAGTTGAAAAGTTGAGTAAAATCCTGATTTAGTTTTATGACAACTATATATGAATAACCTAAAATTCCTTAACATTATGTGTCGTGTTAGATATTTCCCTAAATGAAAATAGTAATAATAAACACGTTTTGATTGTAAGATTATATTCATTTGACTACATAATGTCCGAGTAATTATTTTCACTATCTTTGCGGCTGAACAGTCTCATGCGACCAGAATGTTGAGTGGCGCTACTGATCACGCTCATCCACCTGAAACAGACAACACAAATTAGTTATTTAGATTACTTTAATCGACAAATAATTCAATATTTATAAAATAATATTATGACGAAGAAAACTGCTCCCTAGATGTGATTTTACACGCCTCCATATTATACCTACATCGAAGGACGGACACCCACAAACAAATAAATGTAATTACCCATTTGCCAACCTAAGAATTAAAACAGTAGACAGATAATCACAAATGCAATTATATATAATATATATATATATATATATAAGAATCGGAACACAATAACGGCCAAGACCACAACGTTTTACCTAAATAATGGAAACCATTAAGAGTTAAAAAAGCTGGTTTCAAACAAATGACCACGAATAATCTAATAAAGTTTTCAGTTAAATGTACGTACAGTACCATTTTCCAGGCTTTACATAAAAGTGACTGCTGTCAATCACTCAATTATCACCACGAGAAAACAAACGTCGGTATCGGGGTACCAAAACAGTCCAAACACCTAAATTTGAACCTAATTCGACAAATTCACACACGCCTAACCTAACCAAACGAATAAGTTTAAAGGCTTTTCCAACTTTCCAACGACATTTTAGATTTTATTCGGAATCTAACGAATGATGTTTTCGTCAACCGGTAATATAATTATTCAATTACCGTAAAATAATTCAACAAACACATTTTTTTTCGTTCGAGTTGCACGTAAAACGGATGATTGAAAAAAAACTAATATTTCAATATTTAAATAATATAGAGACGTAACACGTACAACAATGCGGTTTTATTGTGGTCGCAAAGTCTTAATGTTCTCGGTTTTATTTTCACTCGAATACACGAACACAACATGACTTGTTTGGACTACCTAGTAAAATCGAAAAAGATTTAAAATTCAATAGATTTTCCAATGACATAAGTAATTTTTATAAGCATTGCTATATTATTTATAGCATATATTATAATAAATAATAACTGTATTGTAGACACCCATTATGTACGATATCCTGCTTTAAGACATATAATTATCCTTATCCTAGAAACGTGTTGAAATATTTGTTAAATATAACGTTTTTTTGTAGCTAATCTAATATTATCGTTGACARAAAAAAAAAAAAAAAAAAAAAAAACCATCAGCATATCTTATAAACTATGTTTTAATTAATAAAATAATAACTCAATAATAAAATCCCATTTCCAGTAATAATTATTGCACACGTCACTCACCTGCCAAACGTGTATTCGCTTTCGGCTCTGAAAAAGTAGACGTGATTCTTAAATTGCAACTTGAAAACGAAGTCTTTTTCTATGGAATCGTCTTCGTTGGGTTTTGAAACACTGTAACCGAGCAGAGGCAGACTGGCCAACGGCAAGTCGTCTTGGAACGACTTGTAGAAGAACAGGCAGAAATTGGTAAACACGACCCACAGCTTTTGCCAGCCGTTGCTATTTTTGAACTTGCGCAACAGGAAACCGCTTAACTGATTCTGTAGGGAAAATGTGGGTAACACGGTTAAAACAATTAAAATATTTTAGGATTTTTATATGGATTTTCGTTAGGGCGTAGTTTATGTTTAAAACGGTAAAAAACTGTTAAATTCGAAACGATTTAAAAACATGTATACATTAATACGTAAAACGTTATGTACAATAACATTGATTGCCGGTACTCACCTCGGAGGCCCGAAGATGATCAGCCATGCCGATGCTCGTGTTCCGATGCCAGCAAACGTGAACGGTCGTGTTGTTCCTTTGCGCTGCACCCGGTGCTTTGCCACCGTTGATATCGGACAAAGTGCCGTTGCAGTCACCGTTGTTACTCATCATATCGTCCGAAGAACCTAATAGGCACAGTTATCGGATTGGAAATTAAAATAAGCTCGTGTTAAATCGTTAAACGTTGAATTTGTTTATCAACAATAAATGATGGAAAAATACTTTTAAAAAGTCTATAGATTTTCAAAATGTTTCGAAAATTATACTATTATTATTTTTTTTAATTAAAACAAAACAAAGAAATTGAATTTATCAAAAACTAGTTTTGCGTAAAAATTTCAGTTTTTTCACGTATTTTTTTTTTGTGTTTCCAAATTATTAAGAAAAGTGCTGAAAATTGTTTACATTTGATCCCTCAAAAAACGACAAATAGATTCACGTTCATATCATATAAGATATTTAATTTAAAAATCGAAACATTTTTCTACTAATAAAACATAAGACAAGGAAAATACAACTCAGCTCTAATTTAATATCGAAGAAGATTTGCTTTAAAAAATAAGCAAATATAATGACTAAATATATAATATTTTAAACGATCAAATTAATAATAATATAATTTGTTAATCAAAAGTATGATTATCTTACTGCATGATTTCAAGCTCAAATAAATATTTGGTCGCTCAATATTTGCCCGTTCTCCTTTGTAGGCTTGAACGCTTTCTGCGATATCTTCCAACCATTTATCTTTTTCCTCCTGACTGTTCGCCGCAATTGTGATTACTCTGGAAAAAAAATGTGCATATTTTTAACACTGAATCAATCGTTTGAAAACCACAAATAAGTCAAATGCACGCAATATATACAATATATAATAATATACTATATAACGTTTTGATAAAATAAAAACGTAGTCGGCAACTAATTTTCGCAATAATTTCCTCATACCTGTTATTTGAATAGATTGAAAAAGAATATTGTGTTGGGTTGTCGGTTCGTTCTTCAACAAAGAGGTCGTTGAGGGGTATCTGGCCATGGACGCGAAACATGTGGCCAACCCTTGCCGTGTATAACAACATATCAGACATCTATATTGGCATGCACAAAAGCGCAACACTAATGTTAAGCTGAACACATATTTCTTTAAAGCTATAAGTTAAATATAAGCTTGATTGAAACTGTGCGGCAGCATCAATGAATGAAAAGGGAGTGGTCACCGTGGCACAATATTTTATCTTTTTACTTTAGATATCAAACTATGGTAAAACAAGAAGAAAAATTAAATAATAATTCCATCTGAACCAAACAATATTATCATCATTTTTTTTTTTTTACTATACTAACTGAAGAAAATATTATACTCTAATGTATTTTTGTATTTTAAAGTTTTGCAATACAAATGAACATATTATCAATTTGAAAATTAGAAAAATCCATTTTCAATTATACAATTTGTTAATAAAATCTTAATTATATGAATTTAAAATGAAAAAAGTTATTTAAAAAAGATTTTGAAAAATAGAAATGTTTGTATGGTGTATAAATTTAAATTAATTGTAGCCAAATACTTACTAGATCCATTAGAAATTACCCTTTATATCCCATCTATAGATGTACAGCAAATTATTTTTAATTTAACAAATAAAATACACAACATAATATGATACCAATAATTTAAAATTCCTATGATTTTGACTATAATAACAAATTTCAATACAATAACTTCCATTTAAAGAAATATTTTTGAGAACCATAACCAGATTTTAACTTAACTTATAATTCTCGATTTCACAAATTTATTTTTTGTTTTCCGTGGAACTTTGTAATATGAATGTTATACTCTAATTTTCAATTGAAATTTTAATCAAAATTGTTAAATGAACAGTTGTTGTTAATAATATATGTTAAACTATCAACTATTCATAATGAGCATCTTTAATATTATGTACTTTAAGTAGTATAATATTAAAAATGTTAATAAAATATTATGTATTTAAATAATGGTATTGTACATTTTATGTATGTTGTGTTAATTATGGAAATTAATTTGAATACATGCAAAAACGTCATAATTAAAAGAAGTACATGTTAAATTTAATGACTTTTGATATGTTAATTTTAAGGTAATTTAAATCATTTAAAGATATTAAAATTCTATCATTTACTTTTATTTTAAACTATTAAGCACTTCCCAAATGTTTTCATAAATAAAATGTATACAATTAGATTTAAAGTTTTTAAATTTCGAAAGGTTAGAAAGTTAAAAGTTGAATATAAACAAAGATTTTGAAACAACTATAAATAACAATAAATTATTGTATCACAAAATAATAATAATAAAACTCTTGTACCACCTACTAAGTAAAAAAAAAAAAGATTACTATTAGAAATTTCTGAAAATAGTTTAATGAAAAAATCAGACAACTAATCAAACAAACAAAGCGGTTAAGATTTTTCTAACTCAACATCTTTTGCAGGAAAGATAATAGAAATAAATATTTAATCATAATTTTCAGCATTTTCAAGCAAATACATCAACATACATTATAATTTATAATCCAGTACACAAATAAAATAACATTAAAACTGTTCATTCATTGAACTTTACAATTACTAATACTTTCAAAATAATGATAATTAACACTCAATATAAGATGCTTTTAGTTTTTTAAATGTTAGCAACACAAATTAAGTATATTTGTACAATTTTGTATAATTTGTAATTTTTTGCTTCTCTTTACAGGCTTTTTATAGGAACAAGGAGTTAAAACTACAATTTGAACAATGGAAATAAATTTAAAATGACATGTATATTATATTGTTGAAACAACATTACAATATATTTTGATTTTGTTTTAAGATTGCTTGCCCTCCATAATTTGAATATTATGTATGGATAGCGTGCCGCACAGATAGGGCTGCTAAAAATAAACAAATAAGATAATGTTAAGTCATGCTTCAACTTGCCAGAAAAAACATGCGCTGTTGGTAACCTTTTCTCTGAGAAAATTTGGTTAGACACCCTTGCCTTACAAACTCTCGACCAGTAACATGAAGTGTGTCAATGCCAACCATATCTCTCTCCAACTCACAAAGCTGTACAAAGTTTTCCTATAACAAAACAATTTTAATTATAACAAGTCAAAAATTAAATTAAATTTTTAATTACCGATCTCCGAAGTGCACTTGGTAATCTTTTTGTCACTTTCAATAGTTTTGCTCTCGCTTCCAAACAGTTGTTGTAATCAATATGAGAAGAACTATAGTGTCTTATTAATTCTAAAAAATATGAATTTTAGTTAATAATCAAAAAATTATTATCAAAATTACATACTTTCTAGTAAATGAGAATAATGGAGTAATCTTTGAAGTGGTTTCAAAACGAATGAAGACAATGGCAAATAGCACACCTTTTCTACTTCAAAATCTTTATAAAATGCTTCAAATTTCTTGTTAGTACGATATGTATGATCAATTTTTTCTAAGACACTTAAGTGTTCATCTAAATAATTATCATACAACTAAAAATAATAAAATAAACATTAATTGTCGTTTATTAAGCAACATTATTTTTAAATAATTGTACATACCTCCAAATTATTAAAATGGTGTAACAGAACATCGGCTATACATGGAGGGTCCCAACTATTTAATCTCATTTCCACATCTTTCAAAAATAAAGAATGAGCATCATAAATTGGATCAATTAGATTTAAAAGCATGTTTACAGATTCGATCTGACCCATTTCATCATCTTCTTTGCTCATTTCATCACGCAACCACTAATAACAAAATGTAAAAATTCTTAAATTAAAAAAGTATTTTTTATTTATTTAAATTCATAAATATTAATTTTGCTTACAAAATTAATGACTTCTAAGTCTTTTCTATAAGTCCGCTCTGTCATCAATAATTCTTTAGTAATAAAATATGCTCTGTCAGTGGGCCTCTAAAGAAAAAATAAATTTTAATTTTATATAGAATGAATAACAATAATCACATTATACAGTTTAACTTTATATTTAATACTTATATAGGTACCTACTACTTTGTGGAATTTATAGGATAATTAATAATAATACTCACTTTGCGTTTTGTATCAGTAATTTCAAGATTTTTCAATGATGTTTTATCCTTGGCAGCAATTATTGTGCTAACATTGTTATAATGATCATTGCTGAAAAAAAGTGTATCAAAATTTAATTGTTTAGTAGAAAACAATGGAAGTGTATATTATATTTTACCTTATATTTCCTAACGATCCATTTGTAACATGGTTTTTCGGGGTGGAGGATGTCATTGTTGTTACACCATTTTCTTTAATGGACATAGAAGATAAACATGATGTCGATCCATTGATTTTCTTAAGTGGTGAATCTACTTCTTCAGGAGTGTCACCTTAAATTGAAAAAAAATTTTTTTAATAAAAGCATATTATACAAAATATACCATGCAATGTACAATTCACAAATGGAGGAACAAAAACAAAAATTATATATAATACTTTTATAACAATGTAAATGTGCAATTTGATAAAATGAAAATAGGGAAAAGTTTGTGACAGCAAATAAAAACATGTAATAATTATAATTTAACCAAAGTACAAATATATACTTAAATGTATATTTATTTGTGAGTTGCAAAATAATAATATAATAAATGAAAAACAAAAATAATAATAATAAATGAGAAGCAATTTTATGATATGTAATTGAATGTTGGTACACAAATAGGATTCAACATAAAATGTATAACTATTTATATGTATTCAAAACTCACTTAACTCCATTGGGTAAAACCGGATATGCATAACACGAATGATTTAAAGAGACATTCAGTAAAAAAAACTTGCATAATGTGGAAATTATTAAAAATGATTAAATCGTAGTTTATTTTGTATTTATAGACTTTTTATTAATTATTATATTTTTATAGTTGCTTGTATGTACATAGTAAAATAGTATCTAGATATAATAAGTATAATCAATTATTCATAAAAATTGACAAAAAAAATATTCTAAACACCTAGTTGATAAATTTAAAAAAAATAACAAGGTATAAATTATTGAATCGCAGTTTCACAGATAGGTAATACGAAAATGCTCTTGAAATCTACCAATATAATATTATGCATAAAAAAAAACAAGGAATAGAAAACAAAACAAAAAACCACAACAAAGTATGAAATCTTTTAACAATTTATAATCAGTTGTAAGTAAATGAAATCAAATAAATACAAATATCATAGAGAATGATGTTTAACGGCAGATGTATAGTCAACAAGATAAAAAAGAAGTAATGAATATTCGAGTTTTGAAGACTAATATTCTAAAACAAATTTATTTTCAAAAACAAAACAATGTTTAGTGAATATTATATACTAAAGGAAGACCGATTGAAATTTGATATAACGTTAGAGAATTAGTATTTAAATTTATAATTTTAAAACTAAAAAATTTACTATACCTAGCTATTTAGACCATATTTGGGCCAATGAGAGTAATATTATAAATTCATTTATCTCTTTTAAAACTTGGTACAGTGGTCAGTGACAATATATTAATCTCGCCATGTCTCTAACTTGTCATAATAATATTCAATATCAGTCTATAATAATATTATTATTATTATTTATAAATATTAGTTTCTTTTTGTATTACCATTTGAAATATTATGGTTTAACAAAATAATGATATATAATCACTGATAAGGTGGAATTTCAGTTTTCAGTGTTAAATTTTACATTATACTCAACTGAGATGAAACATTTGTATCAATATTAGAATTCATTATAACTATTAAAGAAATAATTTAAATTTTTATTTCAAATACAATACATTTGAGCACCAAATAAAATGTTAGTTTTCAATAGAATATTAAATTGATCCTTTAAAATATGTTTAAGTACTGTTGACAAATATTTATGATTGATAAACAGTTTAATCACATTTGCCAACCATTTAAATTAAATATGATAACACTCATTATTTGTTTTTTTTTTAATTCAACCAAGTACAATTTACCATTGTATAATGTATACATTATACAAGTTACAAAAATGTCAACATAAACATATTATACAGTTGTTTGAAGACATAATTATTATGTGGCTCACTTAGAATTATTAATAACAATTTAACAGACCAAAACTATTATTTAAATATTATAAAATAAAACAAAACAAAATCTGAAGACAACATTTTTATAACATTATTATCACAACCACAAAACAAATATATACATGTATATGTATGTATCTATAAAAAACACAAACATTAAAGAAAAATTACTAATTTACCACTTGAAATACTATAGTAAAATTATCTAGTAATGTCTTAATTATCCCTTAAATTCTTAAACACAATAATATTTGTTAATCTACACCCTATATGCCATTAATAATTATTATAAAATTGGTTCAAATTAGTTTTGTTGTAATTTAATGAAAGCTTGGATATTTATAATCAACATTGACTTTTTTGGAAAAATATATCTATACTTTTGTAATTTGTATCACTTTAGGTTTTCTCTTTAAAGTATGTGTGTAACGTCTTCTTTTGGAAGCCCTAGGTATTGTATTTGGCACATTAGGTGGCTCTTGAGCTTCAAATGAAGATGATGAAGCATCACTAGGTGGACTGCGAGTCAATGAGAAATAAGAATGGCAACGAGCTCTAGAAGCTAATGTCTTAGGTTTTGACCCTGGTGTATCCAATGATGCAGGACCATGTGCCATACGGCTCTTTCTAGTTTTCATATTGGTCTTAGGCAGTTCAAACATGTGAGGTGGTGGTCGGTAGAATTTTGATTCATCAGATTCAGTAAATGGTGAGTCATATTCATCAGAATCTTTGTTCAAGAACTCAGGAGGCGGACAGACACTATCGTAGTGGTGAAGTATTGTAGCATTACTTGAAAATTCTGATGTAGACACGCCAGCTGAAGTATCATCACCAAACGATAGCCTAGGTTTGTTTGTAGATGGTGCTCGTCGTGGTTCTTCTGGTTCCTCTTCTATAAAATCATCATTATGAATTGTTTTTGCATCATCATCATCATCAAAATTTTTTTGTTCAACAGGTGTAAGTTCTTCACTTTTAGGAGAAGGCCATTGTTCAACTGGTGGAGGAATATCAAATGCATACTCTTCTGGTAACGGTGGCAAATCTGGTAAACTATCCATCGCATCAGAACACAAACTCGGCTGACAATCACTAGACAATATTGAATCATCTAGTGACGCTGATTGAGTAGAATACTTTGTTGATAACTCATCATCAACTTCTGATTTTTCTGATGTACTTTGTTCGCTAATTCTAGATAATGTTCGTGACATACCATATATACCATACCCGATGAGATACATTCCAGAATAAGTAACATCTGGAGTTGGTGGTAAAGGACTAGATGTGACATCTTCTTCATCAGCAATGTTTCCGCTCAAATCATCCATATGAGGCGGATCATCAAGACTTGAACTACCAGAACTTTCTAATGAAAGTCTATGATTTCGTTTAGGTTCTAACTTGGGCGGTATTTCAATGCACCCTAATTTATTGATTAACTCAGCGTGATTAATTTCTTCTATAAATACATCTGAATTAGGATGAGGCTCTTTTATGCCTTGATCATTTCTGTCAACTATTAAGTTATCTGCTTCAATTACAGTATCTTCAACAATTTCTGAAACACTCTGACCAGTTTTCTGAGCTGTACGTTTTGTTTCATCTGAACTTTGAGAGTCAAGTTCTTTAAACGGTATTTCCTCACTACTTCCAGAATCATCAACAGACACCCAATCGTCATCAGTGGAACATTTGTTATTAGATTTATTATTTTGGTTTTTTATGTTAGTATTAGGTGCACAAGTAATATCAGACACAATAAACGTCTCATCTTCAAAGTCTTTATGTTCATAATCAATAGCTGATGCCACATTAAATTCTTCAGAATCCCAAACTTCAATTTCAAAATTTTTTAATTTTTTTAATGAGTCCAAACGCTCTTGTCTAGTACTAGAACGTCTTCTTTCTGGTGTTTCGCTTGGCGACAGTGATATACTATTTTGTTCTTCAGATTCTTTAACAACAGTATTAATTAAATATGTAAGACATTCTACAACCGTCTCATCAACTTTAATGTTCCACCATTTGATTGGTTTTTCTTCCAACTCCACTTCATTTTCGTTATCAACTGTATCATCTTTACTAGAAAATGACGTAACTAAAGGCAGTTGATGCAGGGAAACAACTGGAGAGTCTAAAGATATAGCCCTTCTTTGGTTGGACTGGTTTTGTCCAGATACATTTGGAAATGCTGAACCCTCAGATAAACCTAACCTAGCAAAAAGTATAGGAGATTTTTCTCTATTTTGAGATATTTTATCAGGTAATATTTTTCTCAATAATTCAGAAGGTGACTTGTCTTTTTTTAAAGTAGAAAATTCATCAAGGTTAGCTAACTTGGTTGCTAAAGATTGGAATTTATTAATTTTAATATATTTAGATTCAGTATCTAAAGGTTGTGGCACCGTAGTTTTTTGTGAAACCATCATACTGGATAATGCATTTTTCAATTTTATTTTAGTTTCATTAGAAATATTACCATCAGGAACGACTTGCTCTTCGTCTTTTCTTATACTGCTATTTTCATCTTTCTGTGTTTCACTATGAAGAGCTACTTTTGAATGAATTATTTGTGAGTTCTTTACAGAATTGGACACAATGTCAGGAAGAGTGCTGTATTGCATTAATTTATTATGTTTTGTTTCATTATTATCATCATCGCTTATTACAACATTTGGAACTATATGAATAGAATTGGAAGTTAAAGCAGAAGCAACTTTGATTTTAACAACAGAAGACTTAAAAATGTTTTCTTTTTTCGGGCTATTTGAAAAACGTCTTTCTGGAGATATTCCAGGTGAATTAGAAGCAATAGATGTAGAAGCTGATCCTAAACTCTTGTTATCTTTACTACCCAATGAGTCTTTCATTACTTTTTTAGCTTTTCCTCCTCTATATTCTACAATTATTATTTCTTCATGGTTAGGCTCTTCTTCATCAGGGTCAATTTTTATAACTTCCACTTCTTTTTTTAATCCATTATCTGCACTTCGAGGTTGATAACAAATTTTCTTGACCTTACTTACAGGTACACTGTCTGCACTATGACAAGACTTCAACTTGTTATTTTTTTCACCAGAAGATGGTCTTATTTCAGATTCATTGAATGAAGTTGATTTGTATGCCATTTGAATAAGCTCTGAACTTTTAGACGTGGTTACTACATCATCGTGATATTTATTTAATAAAAGTGTATCTAAATCAACAGGACTGTCATCTTCAACACTTACATTACCCGTGGATTGTGTTGATAATGATAAGCCTGAATCTTGAGAATAATGATCTGAACCACACTTAATTGTAGACCATTTAACTGTACTTTCTTCATTAGGCGAACCCTCAATTGTATGACGTTTATGTAATATATATGGTATATCTAAATCTAGTTTAACAATACTTGGTTCAAAATTGTCTAGGGGTGTCAAATCTATAGACTTTTGATGTAGTAGTCTATGAGATTTGTGTTTAGGAGCGCTCATATATGAATCACTTTTTGTTCGTTCAACGGGAACATGGCCAGTTTCACCTTTATTTTCAAATGCATTGAACCGAATTGCATTATTAGTAAAAATCTGTTCTTTACTTCTGGAAGCCAATTCTTTTTTACAAATTTCATTAAACTTATTGAACTCTATATCTCTATATTTAGGCTCTAAATAACCAAATCGTTTTTCAATTTCTAAAGTATTTTCTTTGTTATCATTTTCTACATAAAATATTTCATCTTCATCATCACTAATAGTATTATTAAATACTTCTCTTTCTAATAACTCATATGAATCTTGACTAATGTCATCTTGGTACATATCATCTGTATCTGGTACTACCCTAATATTACCAGTAATTTCAAGCTTACGATCACTACCACTTTCAGTTGATAAACTAGAAGTTGTACCAGGGTAACTACTTGAGAAAATTTTTGTAATAGGATGATCTATAGAACTATTTCTATCAAACGAGGAATTAACTTCTTCGTTTTCAACTGGAGGAGTTTCTCCGGAACAAGACCTAGATGAATTAAACTCTTTGCAGCTAGAGCTACGTTGCCAACTATAAATGGAAGGGGTTGATTTGTCAATAAGTATTAAATCAGTCTGACTAGATTGACATTTAATATCTTTGTAAAAAGTTTCAGAATATCTAGAGGACGTATATGATTTATCAGTATCATAGTCGTCTTCGTAATAATTTGACCTGATAACATTTGTACGGGTACAAGGCCTAGTGTAAGTGATGTTTGGGTACATAATAATGTTGTTTACGGCRGAATGTTTCTGACCTGGATCGTTGACGCTGTACGAGTGCTGGGACGAAGTGATGGAAGTTATGTCCGAAGTTGTCGTCATCACTGTCGTCGGATGTACAACTTGAGCAGTCGACACCTCTCCAGGCGCCACCTGGCGATGGACTGCGTTCGGACTCAGAGAACCCGCTAGGCTCGTGGCTTCCGAATTTGCTAAAAAAAAAAGGTTACATGTAGAATTAATAAGAGCTTAGAAAGAATTTAAAGTGGGTTATTAAATTTTTTAATAGTATGTAAAAAACTATAAAATTTTAAATATTTGTTATTCATATTTTTAATTTACAGATATTTCTTTAGCAAAATAAAATAAAATCAAGATGCATGCTATACCTACAAAGTTTATTGAAATCATGCTTAGATATAGCTGACAATATTAATCAAGAAAAAAGTGTTTGAATAATATATACACATATTTACATGAGATTGTATATTGTATAGATGTAAAGTATTGTATTTGTACAAATAACATTATTATATTTAGAATATAAAAAGTATAAAATGTTTTACAAAAATATATTTTATCAATTAATTAATATACGATACAATTGTTATTATATGTTGATATCTTCCCAAATATTTTATAATACATAACATTATTTAATTTTTTACTAAAAACAAAACAGATTATTTGATGAAATCAAAATATATGAACTTAACAATAAACTTTTTGTAATATATAAATTATATTTTTTTTTATTAAAACTAAATCTACAATTAGTAGCCTCCTTCATATTAGATAAAATTGTTTTTTAAATGTAATCTTGAAAGTACAAATAAATATAAGAATATATAATGTGAAATGTACTATTTGCATTTAGTATTTTTAATATGTAGGTATATTAAAATTTTCTAAACTTTTAAAAATGTAAATAAAATAAAATTTTTATTTTTAACYGTATAAAAAGAATAAAACTTGTCAACTTTAAAAAAATACTTGAGATTATACTTTAATGTATTATAGTTAAGGTATTTAATAAAAACACTAATATTGGTTATACAAATTACAAAAATATAATTATGAAGTGGCTCCAATAACATAAGAAATTATAAACTTAAATTATAAACTTTTAAGTTAAAAAAAATTATTATAAATAAAATTGAATCGCAAAAAAACATACCGAGGGGCAATAAAGGATGTGCTGAAAAACTGGAACCAACATTGGATATAGTAGAATGTGACAATCCGGTATGCCGAAATGATTGAGACCTGTTGGCAGAAACAGGGAAAATGGTGTAAAGAGAAACGCTATTTTTTACAATGAAAGTAACCCATTTGATAATTTTAACACACCATCAGAAACTTACTACTTGATGTTGTTTTTAATTTTTTTTTTTTTTTTTTCAAAAAGAAAACTTAAGACCATAATAAAAACATGCGTTTGGAAAAAATTTCAAAATCGCAGCATAGTAATTTTATTGTTACATAGCTTTTTTAAGGTAAATAAATTATTGATCTTACATGGTAAAAAAAAATTAAAAATACTACTGTAAAATAGATAGTATTAAATAGTTATGAAATTGTGATCACTTGAGTAAGTATTGATTTTAAAATAACATGTTGCCACGAAGAATTATATTGATACAAAGTTAATGCTTTAAAGTTTAGACTGCAATATTTTAGACCAAATGAAAATTTAAAGTAAAGAATCCTAAAATTTGATATTTTCTTTATTTTATATCTTATAATATACTATTGAGGACACTGACAACTTTATTTAAACTGTGAATAAAATCTAATTATTTAAAAATGTGAATACTTCAATAAACTAAAAATTATATTATACACATAAATATCATAACTAACAACAAGCTCAAATTAAAATATCAAGTCCTGTAATGTTTTATAACAATTATTAACTACAAAATATCTTTAATTGATATTTTAGTTTCTGGTGTGTTTTAAATTTGGAGCCACTTTCATTGACAAAAATGTGAGAAAAATAAATAAAAATTCATTCTCTTCAATAACTGTTGCATGCTAAGAATCACAACAACCAAGCTATTCTTATGGTTGTGTGTAATTACTACCAAAAATAAAAATTAATTAATACTTATTGTTCATTAGAATAGTTTAATTTAAGTCGATTTTTATTAATTGTCATTTATGTGTTATACATACTTATACATAGACTTACCTTTGGAATGTTTGACGTTTAACAAAGTTTTCCCTAACAAATTCCACCATTTGTTTTTGAGTTTTACCACTATATCTATAATTAAAAATATATGTATTAAATATGAATACGTATATATATACTTATCATACATGTATTATTAAATCATCTACCTGAATGATGATCCTCGACTTAAAACTTTAGTCCGTTGACGTGGTAAACGTTTTACAGTAAAACATCTAAAAAAGCCATGATTTTCTACGCATTTTTTCCAAAAACTTTTACAATCGTTACGAGTTTCAAATATAAATTCCACTATATCTTTAAAATAACCCTGTAATTATTAAAGAAGACATTTATATGCTATAATACTGACAATTTTATGTATTTATAAATAATGTATCAATATTGAAACTTACATATCCCTCAGGGTGTAGTTTGATAAGGAATTTTTTGCGTTTAAAGCTTAATTTTCTGATCTTGGCCCAAGAAAATGTATTGATTTTTGTAAAATTTTGAAAAACCAAAACACCCAAATGTGCAACCGAAAGATTTAAAGGAACACCTTCAGGATCCTACACAAAAAAGTTGATTAACATTAGAATATTTTACGAAAGTCCAACAATTAATAACCTACCTTCGCTGAATGCATTTTGATCCCATATAATTCACATCGACGTGCAGTTTCTAATAAATTTAAATCTGCTTCTGCTGGTGATTGTCCTCTAAATAAAAATTTTAACAATATTATTTAATCTAAAAATATGTTAAAAAGTACATACATATGTCTTTTATGACTTTCCATTATTCTTATTTCCATTTCTCTGTCTTGGTGTGGAACAAATTTATGTGACGATAAATAAGTGTGATCTGGATAATCATCCGCAGAATAATCCCCACATTCAGCTAGAAAATTTAATTTACAATTAGTAAAATTCATAAATATATAATATATATATATAAATGTTACCTTGTACAATATAAGAGGCCATTAAAGCAGCAGTATTATCATTACATTGCATGTGCCCATGTGATAAATCTCGTTTAATTTGTAAACAAAACAGATACCTGGTGTATTCCTCTTCCAATTGAGCAGGATCAGGTGTGTAAAACTTAACACAAAACCTCATTAATGGGTCCACAAGTGACAGTCCTATTTGTTTGTTTAATGGTTTTTCTAAGTCTAACCAATGCTAAAAACACATGAAAAAATATTAAACAGACTTCACCATGAGAATAATTCATTTTTAGTACAACTTACTTTTGTAGAACCTTCTTGATATTCAAGTCCAAAATAATCGGCTTCCAACAAATTTAGTTGCTTACATACTTGTTCAAATAACACTGATCCATCAGCTTTTGTCTGTATACAATATTAAATAATAATTACATTGTCCTTAGGGAATAAATCAAGTTTGATATCAAACCTGCACTTGAAAGAGTGTAACTGAATCATCCAACATTTGAACACGGACATTGAGCATTTTCCCTCCCCTTCTGGGCGTCGTTGGTGGTGTTTTAGAACCAGCTACACCAGGAGTGGACTGTGAATGGGGTATTTTGTTCAGAGAACTTCCCAGCGAGCTTGGGGTGAGTGTTTGGTCTTTTTCCACAGGAGACATTATATATACTTATTTTAAAACTAATTTAAAAATAACAAAAACCGAAAAAATTCATGAAACACAAAACATTAGAGTGGTTCAAATCATGTTTTCCTATCGACGTTGGTTGGTTCTGTGTGATTGATAGAATCTGTTCTACCGCGGCAACACCAATGAAATTCCATCTGAAATAAAAAACATTATTGTGAGAACTGAACTCGTATTATAAGATAAAATGAAGTTTTGTATTTTTAGTAATGTCAAGCGGATATAAAATCCAACACTTTATAGGGGAATAGGAGGGAAGCGATCATACTTTTTACGAATCTATTTTTAATGATTTAAAAGAAACGAGGGGATAGTACTGACAAATGACTCTTGTAAGTTGTAGTAATTCTATTTATTTTAGCCGGCACAAATAAAAACGACTGCGGATACACGAGTGTATTGCGACGAGTGTTGTGAGTTTGTGACCTTAAACGATTAGACGCCACCTAATTCAGTTGAACGTATTAAATAGAAAAGGTCTCTTACATACAAAGCCATTCACTTCATCCTTCAATGGACTGCATAGCAATGCTAAATTGTTTAAATTAATGTGTCTTCAATTTAATTTCATAAATAAACATACAAATAATAAATGTGTATACTATAATATTATGTATATAAAAGAAAAATCGCTTTGCATCAATTATTGAATGACTACCAGAATACTATTATATGATAAATAATAATACGTTATAATATATATATATATATAATATTTAATTGAACTAAGTTGTTACATATATATAGCATTATTAACATTGTTTTTTTACAAGCATAAAGACCAAATCTAAAAAATATACAGATACGACTGATATGAGTTAATTTACAAGGCCTTTTAATGGAAATCCCACGTTTTATTGATGCAAGTGGTTATTTAAGGCAACTGCAAATCTAAGTAAATCTCAAGAAACAAAGACATTACTTTTGTTTTTATCTAATCGCACTTTACTGGTTTGACTTCTAAATATTTGAATAGAATTTTTTTACGAATTGACAAATAATTTTCATAACATTAGACATAAGAAATAATTGTATCTATGGTTGATTGTTTTACAACAACGGAATTTAAAATGCTGCTGATAATGCATTTCATTTTATATTCATAATAATCCAACAACTAGATTTATTTAAATGTACACAGCACGCATGAAACAATACACATAATACATATCACATATTATGTATGTAGGTTAGGTTAGTGAAGAAACGGGTGGACAAAATTAAACATACGCTTAGTCAACTATTTAGTTGTTTTACTGTTAATATAATATAATATTCACAAAAACATATTATGACATTTATAACTTTTTTCATAACTAAATAATTCTTACTCAAAAATAAACTCCGGAATTTTGAATTATTAGGATTAATACTTAAGAAATTGATAGTACTTGCATTATATATCAAAAAAGGTAAAACTATTTATATTCCTAAAAATTTTTTTTTTTTTTGTTATTTAGAATATACAATCTGTACCTATGAGGCACAATGAGTACATGAGATGAGAGATACTGGATACATACATATACAGTTAACATTAATACAAAATACTAACCTAAKCATATATTTACATGAATTCACGGGTCATGAGAAGCCATTCATCAATGGCACTCACTACCTGAAAAAATTAAAGGTCTTTTTTATAGACAAATTTAAGGAAAAAAAAAGCAGGTAAGTCGTGTATGTCGCTCTGCTGTACAGTAAGTTACAAGTGGGTTACTGTAATGGATGGAATTAAATTTGAATCCAATGATATTATATCACAAAAAACGATTCTGAGCGAAGACGGTTTATCTGTCTAGGATATATTATAGATTATTAAAAATTTTCAAATCTTAGATTTAAAAAGAAATTTTTTTATGAATTTCTAGTTTGAAATAATTTGCGAATTTTCGTGATTTTTACATATGTTGTCAAAATTCAAACTTTGAATGCTTGTAAAAAAAAATTGTGATTACGCATTTCTTTTATTTTTCAATTTTTATTGTAAAAATATATTATGAGCCTTGTATTAAATTTTCAAATCTTAGAATTAAAAAGGAAAACATTTATGAATTTCTATCTAAGATAATTTGAACATTGCCGTAATTTTTACGTATTTAGTCAAAATTTGAACTTTAAATGCTTATAAAAAAAAATCGTGCCTACGAATTTTTAATATTTTTTAACTTCTGTTGTTACAATGTGTTAGAAGCCTTATATTAAATTTTCAAGCTTTTCTACCGAACAAATAAATTTTTATCGATATTTATAGAAAAAAAAACTAAAAAAGTTGAAAAATTAAAATGTCAGTAAACAGCTCAAAACAAATCTTAATATTTTGAAAATTTTATCAAATATATAAAACGCCTATATAAACATTCAGTCAAAATTTCAAGTATCTGCGGTAATTTGTTTTAGAGTTACACCAAAATAAGGAAATCGCTAAAAGTGAAAATCCAATGTTGTAAAAATTTAAATTTCAAATGCTCATAAAAATTTAATTTGAATTTCCGGTGGAATTTTTATTTGTGATAAAGATTGAAAAACTTGTAAGGAATCTTGTATTAAATTTTTAAATCTTAGATTTAAAAAGAAAATTTTTTATGAATTTCTAGCTTAAAATAATTTGTGAATTTTCGTGATTTTTACGTATTTTGTCAAAATTCAAACTTTGAATGCTTATAAAAAAAAATTGTGACTATGAATTTATTTTATTTTTCAACTGCTATTGTAACAATATGTTAAGAGCCTTGTATTAAATTTTCAAGCTTTTCTGCCTAACAAATAAATTTTTATCGATATTAATTTAAAAAAAACTAATAATGATCGAAAATTTGAAATGCCTATGAATAGTTCAATTTAAGTCGAAATTTTTTGAAAATTRCATGGTGGATAGAATATACTTATATAAACATTAGGTGAAAATTTCATGTATCTATGGTCATTTGTTTTAAAGTTACATCAAAAACCAAAATCGATTTTGTCGAAAAATGAGTGTGCGTAAAATTTCCCGTTTTTCCCTTAATTTTTAGTTTGTTTTTTTCAATTATTTAGAAAAGTATTAAGAATTTTTTACTTTTGTCTCCCCAAAGTACCAACTAGATTCACTTTCTGATCAAACGAGGTACTGAAGTCAAAAATCGAAGCATTTTTACTGCCCCAAAACGTGATGACAGACACAAAAAAAAAAAACACACATCATGGTAAAATCAATACATTCATCGCTCCGCTCAGAATCTAAAATGTAACCTACATGCCTACATCACTGAGTGTACATTCAAGTTTTAAGTTCATATTATAAACTAATACATTATAATAACCTTGTGTTGGTCTTACAAAAAATAAATATATTTTCTACAGAGGATGATGTTGGAGAGTTATCTAATCAAGTATGTACCTATCATAAAGAATTATCTAATATTCATGTATGCATATATCATCCATCTTGTCAGTGTACATTCTTCTTATGATAACATTAGTTAAAAATTACGTAAAATACACAAAATGAAATGTCAATTAAGGTTCATAATCAAATAACGAAGTTTACCTTTAGATATATCTTTATCAATAATATTATGAAGGTGCCTTAATCTAACTTTCGATAAAGTGAATAAAAAAAACTAACGTAACTATACATACATATTTTAAGTCTTTACTTTTTACGCTTTAAAATATAATATTGTATTACAATCTTAAGGTAAAAGATTATGAATGAAATAGTAGTTACGTAATATGAACTATGAACTAATCTTATAATTATTCAACATGATCCATTATAGATAGGTACGTAGCTATTAATTATCAATCTAACATAATAATTTAAATTAATAATTTTCAAGTTTTGAAAAGAGTATAAAATTAAAGTACGGGGAACTTTGACTCCTTATAATCCAGCTAGATTTAATTTTCTGCCAAAAACCAACTATGAATTTTAGCATTATAATTTAAGCAATTTTCTAATTGAGTGTCTTTAGACACAAAAAAAAACGTATATCATTGTATAACCAATACTCAAAATCTAAAATTACATGATCTTCAACTCTGTAATTTCCGGTGTAAATTCTAGCGATTACAAAAAATATCTAAATCTCATTTTCTTAAATTATCTCTTATCTAGTAAAATCAATTCATAAACCCCTCCTACCATTAATACATTCATATCTTCAAAGTTCCTCAACGGCCAGATAGACACTGTGTCCACATTTTAACTTCACCGTCAATCGATAATTATTCAATATATATTATATATTTAGAATTATCCTATTAAGCGCAATATTGTCAACTTCCAATGGACATAATGAATATTTGCGCCCTAAGTAGAAAACTTTACACCCTCGTTTGATGCGCCTATCGGCATACAACGTTGGCACTAAACTTGTCAGTAGTTGTCGTTAAAAAAAAAAAAAAAACGCAGAAAAAAGTTAATTATTTCCGAAATAAGAAAAATACTGCATACTATATCTTTCACGTGATTTATAATTGTATTTTATAAAATTGACATTGATAATTTGGATCAATTACTATATAAAATMAAAATAAATTATAAATACTACACGTATATATCAACATAATATATATAATATATATTCACAATTAATATTTTTAACATAATATAAATATTTTTTTTTTACTTGAAATGATTAAATTAAATTCCATTATTACATATTAATATGTTAACTATAATATTATAATATAATATACTATAGCAGTAAACTCGTGTGCTGATGATGTTCGAACACAAATGGGTTGCGCCGATTTATACTAAATACAAAATTATTAGCATCAAAACCATTTTTGTTTTTTTAAGTGAGCAAGTAAGTTATTAATTAATGCCAATAGTTTATTTCGTTACCATACTTCACATTGAAAATATAGCGTTAAAAATGATTCGTGGAAAAAGAATTACGGAATTCAAACAAATGGTACAGAGGTTAGTGTCCTCGACGCTAATATTCACAGTTGGGTTTCTTCTAAATATCCTCTTTGTATCCACAGAAACTACAAGATCGATTTCGCAGAATATCTTCAATAAAAATAATACGACCCTTGTAAGCGCTGAAAAACAATACAACCGAATTCCAGTATTTATGGGGTTGATTCTACGCATTGTAAATTATTTTCAAAAGATAATACGACATAAGTTTTTATCAAATCT